CAAGGGTTATTTTTCAGGAACAGAGAGCCTGATAGATTCAAAGGGAGCACAGCTGACCAGGGACATTGTAGTTCTACTAGTCACAGGTTTTTTTTTTTTTTTTTAAGTACTTTGGATTAAGTTCTAGCAAGGCAGCAAAAATTAGAATTTTCTCCCATTTCACTCACATCACCTGTTTCTGTTCCCAGAACTCGTAAAAGATCCATTTTGTAATATCACATTTTACAGAGCCCTTGTCCATAATGTAGACCACATCCTTTCAACATTTACATCCTAGCAGGTAAATAACATTCATTTTAAGAAGTTCCCATCATATGCTTCTTAAGAACTAGCTGAAGTCTATATATAGTGCAAGTGCCTGGGCCTGTCTAGACCGCCAAAAGGAACTATCCCGCCATAGAACACTGGCTGGAGTTTGTTGAATTAACAGTCCCCTCAGTCACTGGTTTCAAAATATCTTGTTGAAACTTCACATCTTCAATTGTGTCCATTTTGCTCACAAAGTGATTATAGGAACTTCTGGATGGACAGTCTAGCCAGATGGAGCTCAGCCGTTTAGTTCCAAATTCAGCTCAAGCCCCACCCTTAGGTAGAAGATTTACAAAGAGTAATTTATCTGCATCCAAAGGATAGTATTTGGTACCTAACCATAGGGTTGTTCAAAGGGGAAAGAATAAATCAATGTGCCCAACATGTTGCCTATCAGTCTGTTCCCCAGGGATCTCTTCTACTCTTGTGGATTAAAACATAATTGTTGTACATTTTGCCCGTGGCATTCAGATTTGGGTCTGTGCACCTGTGGGTGTGTCACGACGTAGTAGTTACTTGTGCTAGCCAGATAACTAGTGCCTCCAGTCTGTTCCTTGAAACAGAACGGGATGAGAAAGAACTTAATGGATCCAACTCCCGAAAAGAACTTGTGGTATGATAACAACCTCCAAAAAGTCGTCAAATGCACAGGCTTGTAACAGAATGTTTGGATGAAACAATCTCAGCAGTTACAGAGCTGGGCTGCCAGGGACCCATCCCACTCAGCCCACAGTCGTGGCTGGTGCTGGAAACCGTAGGTGCAGATAAGACAGTGAGCCTTCCGCCACGCAGACTCACAATCCTGCAGGTATGAAATGCCACATCGGGATGGGTGTGCGACAATCAGAATGGCAGACGGGGAACAAGGAACATGCCTCTCCTAAACAGGGGCCCAGTGGGTACACAAAGAGGCGCCGTGTACAGAGGAGACACCGCATCAGCTCCCTGGGAGAGGGTGGGAGATGATAACTGGAGAACACCAGCTCTAGGGTTGGAGGGACAGGAGCCGGAATCCATGCTGTGCCTCTTCCCAGCTGTGTGACTTGGGCAAATTAATTAACCACTCTGAGCTACAGTTTCCACATTTGTAAAATGCTATTAGTACCTACCTCCCAGGGTTAGGTGTGGACATTCATGATAGGTGCAGACAAATAAGTGAGTCCTTATATGGGGAAGCTCTTCTGTCACTAGTCATGCTCCCCCAATCACTCGTGATAAAACCAACAACAGCACTAATAGTAGCCAGTATCTCCCAGGCATCCGCTCTGGACAGGTGTCCTACTGAGTGTTTATGGGCACTGCCAACCCCACGACTATAGGTAGCAAGTGTTACTTGTATACCCGTGTGCCAGCATGAAAACAGATTCATAGACTGTCAAGTGATTACGGTAATGGAGACAAGCAGTCTCCACCTGGACTTGCACCCTGGTCTGAGTGACCTCAGAGTCTGCCCAACTAAAAATGCTGCCTCCAGCAGTGGAAAAAGCTGTTAAACCAGGAAGAAAAAAAAATAGTACATAGTTGGCGGGCTCAAGTACGGGCTATGCTTAAGCAATTTGTACTTAAAAATCCATTTTTGGGCGGCGCTCAAGTATGGGCTATGCTTAAGCAATTTGTACTTAAAAATCCACTTTTGGGGAGGGGCACCTGGGTGGCTCAGTTGTTAAGCGTCTGCCTTTGGCTCAGGTCATGATCCCAACCCCGTACCGGACTCCCTGCTCTGCAGGAAGTCTGCTTCTCCCTCTCCCACTCCCCCTGCTTGTGTTCCCTCTCTCGCTGTGTCTCTCTCTTTCAAAAAAATAAATAAAATCTTTAAAAAAAATCCACTTTGGGGCGCCTGGGTGATTCAGTCAGTGAAACTTCCGACTCTTGAGTTCAGCTCAGGTCATGATTTCGGGGCGTGAGATCGAGCGCTCCATTGGTCTCTACACGCAGCGTGGAATCTGCTTGAGGATTCTCTCTCCCTCTCCTTCTGCCCCCCCCCCCAGCTCTCTCCCTCTCTTTCTCTCTCAAATAAATAAATCTTTTTTAAAAATTCACTTTTACCCTGAAAAATAGTATTTCTCTATGTAACTACATAACACTTTCTTCCTTCTTACGCCATAGTGGTCACTCCCTCAGGGTACTGCTGAGAAAGTGGGTGTTGCTGCAACAGGAAGCACACACTTTCAAAAGTTATAGGACTGGTGAGGGCTCCCAGAGAACTTTGTTGTGCTCTCACAGTCCCCACGTTATAACCGGAAAACATGACTGGATGAAAAATAAAAATTGTTATTCTCTGCTCATTACAGGAACATTAGAAAATACGCACAAAGGAGGAAATAAAAGCAATTCACAAGCCCAAATACTCTAACATTTTCGTATATATCCTCCTGTTTTTCTCCCCCTAGACACTCAGATGCATTCATACAACTGTTGATTTCTCCCACCTTCACCCTAAGTTCTCTCCTCCCTCAGTGTGGCCTGTCCCCAAAATAGTACCATCATTTGCCTAGTTGCTCAGGGTAGTATCTAGGAATGATGTTTGAGTCCTCTCTTGCTCACCCCATATCCAATCCACTGACATCTCATCTCTCCCGCTTTCCAAATACAGCTACTTCCAAGCCCATCACCGTGTCCAGACCACCACCCCTCTTGGCTTTTGACCTTCTGACTTCTACTTTTAGCTCCCTGTCTCTCTAGCTGCTTTTCCAAAAAAGTGATTCTTTTTAAAAGTGTTTCATCATATCATACCCCTGCTCAGAACCTTCCAATAGCTTCCCATCACACCTAGAATGAAATCTAAGACAGTCCCAGGGCCTACAAAGTCCTATGTGACCTACTCCCCTCCCTCACTGCCCCTCTGATCTTCTCTCTGCTTGCTGCTTCCTGCACCCAATCTCAGGGGCAGCAGGACCCCTGAGCATATGACTTGTTTTCATGCAGATCTCAGCTTTCTCTCTTTATGATCTGTCTCTGACCAGGTGAAACTCCATGAGTGCAGAGGACTTGGTTTACTTTGTTCTGAGGCCCCACATTCTAGTACAGTGTCCATCACCTTAGAGATGTGGATCATACATGAGACTAAAAATTAGACTTAGTGAATTTAAAACTACAACTTTGATGAGAGAATATACTAGTCAGTAGAAGTTGGGCTATGCTGCAGTAACAAACAATGCTTACATCTCAGTCACCTCAAATAACAAATAGCTTCTCTCTCACACTTGTCCATCAAGTGTGGGGACCAGGAGGTAGTCTCTGCCCAGGGCACCATCACTCAGTGTTGAAGGCTGACGGAATCTCTACCCCTGGGCAGTTGCAAGACTATGGCTGGGAGGAAAGATGAGAGCAAATTGGACTGCTCTTTACAGGCTTCTACGGGGAATTGATATATGTTGTTTCTGCACCCATTTAATGTACCAAAGCTAGTCTCATGGCCACCCTTAACTCCACAGAGGCAAGGGAAGCATGATCAATCATGTGCCTAGACAGAGGGGAATCAGAAGTACAGGGTGTCCACAAAGCCTGAAAACATAGGAGAATACATTTTGAATAGTTCGTTGATAATTTTTTTAAAGATTTTATTTATGTATTTGACAGAGACACAGCGAGAGAGGGAATACAAGCAGGGGGAGTGGGAGAGGGAGAAGCAGGCTTCCCACCGAGCAGGGAGCCTGATGTGGGGCTCGATCCCAGGACCCTGGGACCATGACCTGAGCTGAAGGCAGGCACTTAATGACTGAGCCACCCAGGTGCCCCAAATAGTTTGTTGATACTATAATTCATGAAAAAAATATATTTTCTTGTTTCCAGACTTAAAATACTCTCTATCTGGTCAACAGCACTGACAACTTCCACAGTGCTGTGCAGAAAATGTCTTTCTCATCTCTGTGGCCCTGATATGGTATAACAGGGATCTGACCCCTATTTGTGGGAAGTGATGTTTGAGTTGAGATCTGAAGGATGAGTTGCTTAAGGGAGAAGGAAGATGTTTCAGGGAGAGTGAACTTCTTAGGCCATGGGGCTGGGTGTTGTAGGGGGAGTCAGGGAAAGAGTCAAGGGAGAGAAAGCTGGAGACTGAGCAAGAGAGACAGGCAGGACCAGGGCTCTGCGCGCATTTGGCTAAGGGTGAGGCTGTGTATGCACGGATTATATTTGTAAAACGGGCATCAAACTAAAATTGTCTCAGAGCCTGGTTTTTTTAACTTAACATTATATCATAAACAACTTTCCTTGTCACCATAAGCCTTAATACAACTTATTTTTAATGACAGCCCAGAACCATTATATAACCAAATCATAATTCATTTAACCAATCTCCTACCGTTCAGTTTTGAAATGGCTTCAATTTTTTCACCACTGTAAACAATGCTACAGAGAAGACCCTTGTAATTTAGTGTTTGGCTCTTCCACCATCATTCACTTGGGATGAATTGTTCAAAGCAAAGTTGCCGGGTAAATGAGTACGCACATTTGTTAAGATTTTTTTCTTTTTTAATGAATTAAAAAAGTCATCCTCTGGACAGCTTGTGCCCCTGTCTACTCACACGACAAATACCACTTTACTTTAAATGTTAAGACATCTGTAGGTTATTTTGTTCCACTATTTTCCAGTCCCATACACCATACCCGGACAGAGGGAAGGCGTAGCGAGGAGCGAGATCTGCAAGTGCGCGGGGATACTTCCATTGAGACAAAACGGCAACACTCACATATCAGGCCATAGTTTCCAGTAAGTACCATCATCTCGTCCACAATATAGATCTCTCTGGCAGCAAACATTTAGGGGCCATATAATTCAGGAGTCGCTGTTGAAACAGATCAATGAGCCCTGCACATGATAACGAGCTTTCCCCCCCGCAACTGAGAGCTAGGGAGTCTGCGCCTCTCTCCACCCCGCGACTGGTCCGTGAATGGCGAGTCACCATTCAGCCCTGCCAGGGCGGCCCTGAAGCCGCGGGAGGGGAAACAGGAGGCTTTGCGGGCTGAGGAGGGGACTGCGCCATTAGAACTTCACTTTCGGGCTCTGCTGCGGGCTTGGGCCGTGGCCTCAGAGCCGTCTGTCTCCTTCTTCCTAGTGGTGAAATCCACAGCAAGTGCTAGCTTCTCCCACGTAAGGAATCCATCCAAGCGCTCAAAGACTTTGAACACGTCTGCGCCTCCGCAAAGGAAATTTTGTTGCCCAGGGCAATTAACTTTTTTTTTTTTTAAGATTTTATTTATTTACTTAGGAGCGCGAGCGCACACGCGCGCCCAAGCGGGGGGAGGGGCAGAGGGAGAGGGAGATGTAGCACTTCAGAAAAATCGAGATTTCATGGTCATGGAAAGAGGACAAATCAAAATCAAGGCACCAATGAGAAGAAATGTGGCAAAGTGTCTTGTCTTTTGCTCTACAATGAACCAGTAGGCTAACATGTTACTAAAATATGCAGCTCATTGGAGGTCTGAAAACAATGTAGAGGAAATATTTTTTTCATAATTATGGAAAGATAGCAACTTATTTTTGGAAGACAAAGATAATGAAAGCAATATAATCTACACGATTCCATTTTTTGAAAATTGTGAGCATAAATACATGTAAACACAGGCTTCACAGAATGTAGGTAAATACATTCACTAAAGTTATACACAGGAAAAGTATCAAGTGGTTGTCTGTGGGTTTTCATTTTTCTTCCTTTGGCCAATCTTTATTTTCCGATTTTTTCTACAATGAACATAAATTACTTGAGCACTAAAAATTACTTTAAAGTAACTGATGAATATTTTAGAGGACAATGATCTCTGTGAACCTAAATAGAGAATAAAGCGGGAAGCTTTCATATTATACATATGGACATGATCCAAAACTGAGTAATATAAAATATTTGTTTTCATTGAAAGGAAGTAAGGAAGTCAAGGGGAGGGGGCATTTTCTGACTTGAAGTAAACATATTTGGGGATCTGATCAGAAATAACTATTGAGGGGCGCCTGGTTGGCTCACATGGTTAAGTGTCTGCCTTCGGCTCAGGTCATGATCTCAGGGCCCCGGGACGGAGTCCTGGGATCGAGCCCCACATTGCGCTCCCTGCTCAACGGGGAGTCTGCTTCTCCCTCTCCTTCTCCTGCTCCCCCTGCTGTGCTCTCTCACTCTCTCTGTCAAATAAATAAATGAAATCTTTAAAAAAAAAAAAGAATTATTGACTTTTGTATCTCCACTTAGAAAAATTCTGTTTTATAAATGTTGTTACAGATCAAATTCTCCTTCTCTGCAAACAATGTAGGTTTTACTTCCACAGAATGGATTATCTCTTCAAATTACACTAGCAGTCACCAACTTAGCACCTAGAACCTTGCAGTCCCATGTACGTCTGGGGGGCTCTCCTGGCACATCATGCGTGTCCACATATCCCAAGTACATGCCTACTGTACCAAGTAACAGAGCTAAATGGGGTTCATCCATGACTATGATAACAAGCCTATATATGGCAGCTCCTCCTATAGATTCCTTGCTCATACCGCTCCTGGGGAGGGATCAGATGAAATGTTGAGAGAATATAATGTTAATCTACCCATCATCCTTTCCCCCTTCCACTATTAGACACTCCAGTTTTGCTTTGGGGAACTAGCCCTTCTTGAATGGATACAATCTTGGTGGGACTGTCAATCATGAGTCCTAACCTCCTCTGGTTGATGGTTTGGCATATGACTCAGGGTTGGCCAGGCAAGTGTTCTCAACATGGGCACTGAAGCCTGAGTGGACTGACAAGGGCTGCAGGAGCTCATTCACGACAGTTGCAACATCTAAAAGTATGGTCCCGTTATTCCTGCTGCCTCAGAACTGCCTGGCTCCTGTCATTTTCTGAGATTTTCAGGCTTTTCCTCAATTCTGTATGTTACTCTATATTTTCAGTAAATTCCTTTTTTTTTAATTAGCTAGATTTATTTTCTGTGGCTCATAACCAAAGAACTCAAAAAAGATACAGAGACCCCTTGTCACAGACCAGTCTCTGAATCTATGCAAAGTCACAAGATGATACTGGATGATTACACCTGTATGGCTGGAATCAGGTGACAAGAGGTCACAAAATATCTATTATTCCCTGGAAATGAAATGAACACAAATATATATGTGCATACACACAATATATATATGATATGTAAATATATTGTGTAATGAATAATATTAATGTATTAAAATATATATATTTAGTAATAAAGTGCTCTGAAAATAGCACTCTTTTGAGATTAAATGAGTCCCCACCACCACCATCTGCTATAAGAGAAAAACATTCTGAATTATAACTAATGCAAAATAAACTAAAATTCTGGAAAACATAATCCAAAGTCATGACAGTGTAGCTGCAAAAGTTTCAGTGATCCCCAGGTCAAGAGTTCTGAGAAGGGAGAACAGGATGAAAGAAGCAAAGATGGGACAACATAACACATAGACTGCTCTAGGCTGGGCGTAAAAAGAGCCGGTCTTTAGGACGTAATTCAGAAGCTGACAACTCCAGGCATTTCTGCAAGATGTCACTCAGATCTAGGAAGGAGAGAGCATTATTTCTCAACCCTCTCTTTCTTTGTCCAAATTCCCATGGGACAGTTGGCTGATTCTACCACCACTGACTGCTCTCCCCTAGGTCATGTGTCCATCTAGGGTTCAATCACCTGATGTCACAGAAGGTCAAGGTCATGTCATATAAAAAAGGACGCAGAAGCCCAGCCCTGGGGGTGGAGAGGACAGTTCTGAAAGTCAGGGACAAGAGTTGGGAAAGGCTTGTCTGCTGCAGCAGGATAATTTTAGAACAAGAGGGGGGATTAGAAAACAGGTCCCTCGTTCCCAGACCAACGTTTCAGCTACCAGACACATCATCACTTCGAATACAAATTTTCTGAGAGAGAGGGTTGTGTTAGATAATTTCCAAAGCCCAGCCAGCACTAAAGCACTGTGGTAAAGTTTCATTACAGCGTGAGGATTGCTTTGTTAGTAAACAAAGAACATTCCTTCGAAGTATTTGTTTCAGGGGGGTAGGTATACTGCGTGGTCATAGAGTATAGGTTTTGGAATTGGACTCTCTGGGTTCGATCCTGGCTCTCCAGGGTCCCTCCCCATCCACACATAGTCTCTGGGCCACCTCGTATGTTTTTTATGAAAGATACATGAAATAGCCGACGCGAAGAACTCATTGCAATTCCTGGCATTTTACTTTTATGAGATATAAAAATACCACTGCTGTTATAGCAGGAAAGGATGGGTGAAGAAAAGCCTTTCGCGCTCTAAGCCTGATTTCAGTTTTTAGTCCATAATAAATCTATAATCTGATATTGACCTTTTGTGATATCAACCTGATCTCAGAAATAATTTTTTATCATGATGACCTCAGGATAAAGCCAGGTGAACAAAACACAAATCACTATTTCATCACATAAGCATTGAGTAATGAGGGAAAAGGCACTTCTCAGTAAACCCCGGTTCACACAGTGAATATTAACATCACCTCCCCTCCTCCCTCCCGCCCTCCCGGCTGCCCCCACATTCTCCTCCCTTCATCTTTCCTGTGAGCATCTCCCTAGCATTGTCCTAACTCCTGTGATGTACCCTCCCAGGACTCTCTTCAATAGAGGAAAAAAATACACTTTTTATTGATTTCATTTCATATACATTTATGCTGTTGGTTGGCTGCTTTTATGTTACATCCAACCTTCAGAATTTGGGTTGAATATGTCATGCCATGATGCGCAGGAGGCCTGTGGAGAGAGCGCCCCTGGACATTAATGGGAGCTGAGTACATTCAAAGGAAGAATTTTGCTTTCAGTGTATTTAACACTTTGCCTAGAGTTCTGTCTCCACAGGGGCTAACATCTGTGTAATACAGCAGGGAGGGGAGCTCCTGGCCTAGGCCCTGCTGAGAACAAAGCCAGGACACCTGAGAATTAAAGAGCTCCCATCCTTCAAAGCTTTCCCAAGACTTATCATCCCTCTGTCTCTCTTGACGCTTTCACTACCTGCGTCCGCACCACTAAACAATTCATACACAGCGTTGCTGCAAAGGTTGATAAACTTGATATAAATGGCATCATACGTATACATCTTATTGCCCCTCGCTCTTGTTGATCAGAATGACGTTCCTGAGATTTATCCACCTCGCTCAAGCTCATTCATTTTAATAGCTGGAGAGCATTTTGTTGTTCATAATGTTTTATTTCTTAAGCTGAGCAGTGGGTACCTTTGGTGTTTGTCCTATTCTTTTCTAAACTTTAGCAGAAGTCTGAGATAGTTCATGATCTAAAGAATAAAGTGAGTGCTGTCTTGCGGGTTCTCCTGGACATACAGTGCCTCTTGCAGCCATGCTTGGCTGTCCTGGTGGGTTGCAGAGTGCCTCTCCCCACTCACCCATGTTCCTGGCTCTGTAGGCTTGAGCTCAGCAACTAATAGTTTTGCAATAAGACTAGTTGTGTTTACTGAACACTGATGCTGTGCCAGGCGCCGTGCCAAGTGCTTTGAGAGGGTGATCTCACTTAGTCCTCATAACAATACTACGGGGAGGGAAGTGTCATTATTGTCCCACATTTATAGCTGAGAGAGATGAGGCTCAGAAGTTTGGTGACATGTCAGATGGTGAGGAAGGTGTAGCCAGCATTTCTTTGCAAGCAGGACTCTCTGACTGCAAGATTCATGTTCTCATGAATCACCACCCCATGTTTTTCCATAGTTTGGCGGGGGGGTAGCGGTGCCTTTGGCTTGGTCTGGACACTGTTGGTTGTCCTGGCCCCTCCTCAGGACATGCTCACCCAGACACCCATGGTA